AGCCTGAGCAAAATGCCAGGGGGGGGGGCAGCAAGCGGACACGAGGGGGCGAAGCCCCCGAGGGGGGAGGGTGTGGAAAATTTTTAAAAACTGTATGTATAATACTGCATTCTGGTGCATTTTAACTGTTATTTATTGCTCAATCAGAAGACAGAAATTGTGGGATAGCTCCCCAAGGGAGGGTGAGCTGTTTGGCATGAACTGAGTTGGCTAAAAACAGTACACCTTTGTAAACAGGTTGTTGAATGATTGTCTAGTGGCCATGAGTGCATTTTCTCACAGAATTGATNTTTTTTTTTCCTTTGGGTTTTTTTTTTTTTTTTTTTTTTGCCCCCCAAACCCCGGGGGGGGGGGGGGGCTCCCCCCTTCCCCCCCCCCCCCCCCCCCGGAGGCTACGGCCCTGTCGATACTTATCACTCAACCGCGTAACAAGGAACTTCAGCATATATTAAACCTTGTTATGCGATTGAGTGATCACAATGGTTGAAGATTGAGTGAAAACAAGGGATTTGACATTATTATGAAATCCCTATCATATCAAAAACTAATTTCTTATTTTGGAAACTTGTATATTGATTATATTGAGTCTTTCCTGATCACTCAACCACGTCCAAAAGAAAACCTATTTTGAATTTCGATTTTTCTACCTGAACTAGTATAAACATATAGGAAACGATTTTGATATCGAATAATATTTTTCATTTAAAATGAAAGTTTTTTAACTGAAATCTGTGTTATTTGTGGGCATATGATTCAGTTAATCTAGGCTTTATCATATTTTGATCTGCTGATTTCTGCCAGGAATGCAAAAATAGGATCGTCTATGTCTTTTCTGCCTTTCCATGTCGAAAGTGAATCACCGCAAACAGCACTACAGTAATTAGCTATAACCAAAACCTTGTAAGGGGTCCCTCCTGCTCGTAACATTTCGACAAACTTGTCATATTTATCTTTGGTCCTTCGAGTCAGCTGGTCTCCTTTAGTTAGAACACCAAAAAGTGAAAACTCTGAAATGAATAAAATATTTCGTCTATTAAAAAGAAGATAACAACTATCATAAGTGAAAGCGTATCTGTGTGTGTAAAATACAACATGCATAGAACACCGAGAGAGTCGGAGAGGTAAAATATGGTATTACCAGCAGTGCTAAAAAATTGAACGGACTCATGTACGGTTCTGCAAACGAGTAGCGTGTTTGAACCAAAACGTTACAAGTGAAAGTGAATGTGGGAGAACACCGTTATATGTAACCTATATATCCAGGTGTATCAAGTATTGGACAAGATTGGGGAGATACCCAAGCCAGTGCTATATTATGTTGCGTGGGTTGGACTGTGACCCATGTAAAACACCTCCTTTCCAGTACGGTTTCGGCTATGCCTGGATCGAGGACGAGTTAGGAGATGCTGAGTTAATGAACCAATTTACAACACGAGTGACAGAGTGTGCATTAGAAAGACATTGATAAGTGCTCACCGTACAATCTGTGCAAAACTTTTATAAATCTAGAAAAATATTTGTCATTTCCATTGTTTTATATACAGGAACGTCGTTATCAAATTTCTGCTGCTGAAGTAACAGTTTCATGATTGAGAAAGGATACACTTTCCACTACTGTGCCCGTTGTATAGCGATTTGAGGGAGAGATACATCTTAATAAAATAGGCAAAACACAGTAAAAATGAACGATTATTTGTTTGGATTATGTCTGACTTAGTACGGATGACATATTCTCATTGGCAAAGCGGATTAGCTAATATGGATATGTTCATTTTTATTCGGTGTACATAAAAGGACTTTTTACATTACTACTTGTGGTAAAATTAAGGTGAAACTGTACATGACTTTTAGGTCAAAGGCTTTTTATTAAGCAATAAACATCGTCATCATTATCATCAATAAGTTTGCACTCACCTGCCCCCAAAACTTCCTCGCATACTTTCCTTACTGCATCGCAATACGCTGTTGGCAGGTCCATGCTTGCGGTAGCAACAAAAACCACTCGGTCTATGGGGACACCATCATCGCATTTGGGAATCTCTGCTTCTTCATTGGAGATTAGGTCATAAATGTCGGTGTTTAGGGGTAGATGGCCTCTCAGGATAAGCCTGAGAACTTCTTCAAAACGGTCGGTCGGGGGATCGTTTGGAGGTAAGCCGCACATATCTATGAGGACTGGGAGCTGATTTTTCTTAAATAAAATTGTCGACGGTTTAGCCTTGGCTTTCGACAAATCATGCATCTTTAGACACTTTGAGATGTGTCCTTCTTTATCGCCGCTGCCGCACTTGGCGAGCTCTCTGTATGTGCCAAAAAGTGCCGTACTGATGGTATTCAAAAACGCCGATTTACCGCTTCCAGCAGTTCCAATTAGCAGAATACATTTTTGGCGACATGATGCAGTATCTCTGATCACAAATGTCTTCCATGGGGAGTAGGACCCGACAGGATATTTCTCCCACGTTTGGCTGAAATAGCTCCCCATGGTGGCTATGGTAGACCAGCGCGGTCACCAACGATTTAGTTTTAAGAGGGCTCGGAGGGGACGACTCCTTAAATACACAAAACGGAGATAACGTCAAGTTCTAAAAATAGCGCGTAAAAAGCCCCTTAAATAATCGATAACCATGCAATAAACTAATAACTAAACTGCATAATGCGGAAGTTGTGCCGGATCTCCAACTTCAGATATCAGAAGTAATTGAACCATCATCCACAAGTGAAAAACTTGGGTATTTACTTCGACCCCTTTCCTTCTATAGAAAGGGGAGACCGGGGCTAGTTGGCCCAGTAAGACACGTTTGGCCTTGTAGAGCCAACAGAGAATGAGTTAAAATAACAAAACCGGTTTCAACGTAAGCCCCACGAACGTAGCTACGTATGCAACGTCATTATTTTTCAAATATCTAACAAAATATCTAACATAAAATATATAACATTAAATATCTAACAATAAAATTTGTTTTGTTTTAATTAAGAATAAATTAATTATGGTACAAAGCAGGTTTTTAATGAATGAAAACGAATAATGAATTCTCGTTTTAAAATAAACTAACAAATTCAGTTTTAAACTGGTAACAATTTTACAAACCATGGAGTTTGTTTCAACAATGGTCTGTAGCTCTGCTGCGCCCAAATGTTTGTGGGAAATACGAGGGTCCAACTTGAGTCAAGGGGGGCAACTAGCCACGGGTGCACATTTTTTTATTTTAAAGGATGGCAGCCATTTATGGGGCTAGAATGAGCAACGATGATACATCTATGTGAAACTTGAAACAATAAGCTTCAGTTTGATGCCCTATACACATATTATATTCGATCAAAAGCCTATGGAAATATATTATTAAATTTTCTTTTAGGTACAAAAATCGTTTATTTGGACTCACCTCTTAAGTAAAACATTTTAACGCCCGACACTTCCTTAGCATTGTAGGCTATGGTCACTTTACAAGAATATGTGGCCAAATTTTTAGCTCGTAGTTACTTTTTTATACATTGACGGGGCGGTGGGGCAACTTACCCCGGGGTCAAATTATAGCCCCGATCTCCCCTACACCAACAGCAAACACCAGACACATCGGAATTACTTGAATCCTCTGCAGCAACAGTTAAACATGCAATGGTAACCACACGTTGCAGCGGATTAAAAAATTGGACTAGCCTTTCCACTAAAACACCCAGGCGAAATCACTTTACACCCATTTTATATCACTTGCACTGGCTCCCTGTGAGAGCATGTATCTTATTAAAATATAAACTTTCATGCATGTATTTTTTATCAATCAGCCCCCTCTTACCTATTGAATTTGGTAAAACAGAACAGAATAATTAACACACACACGAGCAAACACACTTGCAATTCAATATCGAGAAAAAATTTATTGTAAAAACTGCAAGTCTAAGGTTTTGTTTAACTTCTGTCTTCATTTATGTTTAGAATACATAAATTAGTGCAGCTGTCATTGTGGAGTCTTGTTTTCATAATTTTCATTTTAAAAATCTCTACAAGTAAGGCTAGAATTACCGCCTACATTTTCGGCCTCTACGTGCTGCAGGTTAAAAGGATAATAACTCTTCGTTTTGGCCAAAAAAATGAATTTCCTGGAGTAAACAACACTTTTACCATACTTACTAATGGTTAATGAATTCATTTTACATTCAAAGTTAGTCTCGTTTTTTTTTCTACAAAGCTTGTTTTTTTTCTTTTTGTTAAAATCTCTTAAGAGATAAAACAAAGTATAGCCATCAGTGGAGGTCACGTGGTCTAAAGACTAGCCCAGATATAAAAAAAAGCTATAACTGCCGTTTTTGTGGTAAAACAGAATATATTATATTTCTATAAGTTATTCACAATGTTTTTATTGTGAAATATAGATCTCATACAAATAATTACTATCCCTTTAATTACAAAAAAACATTATATACAGCTCTGGTTAATATTGGTCTTTCTATTCCTGGATCCTTCTCATCTCCCTGTGGAAAGTGAGATAACCAGTTTCAGTTTTTGTTTATGTTTTCATTTTTTTTTTTTTTGAGACTTTAGATGATAGATTTCAGTTTATCTGTCTGTTCTCTGACCGATTTCGTCCCGCGTAGAAAAGTTTGAAAAAAAAAGTATTGTTGATCTACAGATTCATCTGACAGCCTAATAAAGGCACCTTCAACAAGCATTCGCGACCCAAATAACCCTGGATCCTGTTCCAAGATAAAATGGGTAAAATGCATAAAAAAACATTAAAAGGTCTTACACTCTTAAATCGATTTAGATTTAATTGTCTCAGTACCAATTTTTTATCTGGCAATTTGGTCAGTGGATTTTATATGAACATAAAGGAAAGGAACGTTGTTGTGCCTGTCTGTTGAAGAAAAATAAGGCCCACCCAACTACCAGACTCGGCACCTAAGGAAATGCGATCTGACACACACCTTGAAAACGGGTAGTGTGGTTCGATATACCGGTTAATTCAGGATCCTTAGGTGCCGAATTCTGGTAGTTGGGTAGGCCTGTGTCTATCTTTTCTTAAATTGGCAAATAGTGTCATTCAATGTAATGTCGAACAGTTTCAAAATTACATAAGGCGATCTATAGAATTGTCTCACTCCTCATCGGTGAAGGCACTTTCAACGAAGTTTTTCATAAACCACAGTTGGTACCTAGATGCATGGTTGTCCACTGTGACCAAGGCGACGCTTTCAGACACTCCACTACGAGTTTGCTCTCTCAACAGCGACGCCTGATTGCGTCCTTTCATGTAAAGGTCCCGGCCTTGTTGGAGGACGCTGCCGTAGATGCTCTCATCACACAGTGTTTTCCAGGATGTCTTCCTCTCTCCAAATATGATTATCAACACCTTTGCTAGAAGACACAAATATGTCATACATGTATATCATGCGTTTGGAACATTTAAATGAATATATCATTTTTATCAAATTTAAGACCAATATATTTGTACAACTTGGTTTTATAACCGCCAGCGAAGTGGAATATTTGACATAAGCAGTGGCGGATCTAAAAGGGAGATCAGGGGAGGGGGTTCTGACCCTCCCTTCGGTTTCTGAAAAATATATCACACCAATATTCCCCTCTTGAAATTAGAATTTTGACTAGCTAAATCAAAGTGCTAAACCGTACCAAAGGGCATCGTTTGCTCTCTAAAACGCCAAAAATATTGGGCCCCTTGAGCAAGATTTTAACATATCTTAAAATATGTATATCAAAACCACACACGCAGTGTAATATTTAACATAACTACATTTTGAACCCACCTTGGCTTAATCCCGCTTCTGTTATTAATTTTGCAAAGACCGTGCCATCACTTAAATACATATGTCTGATGTTCTGTGGTAGACAACAGATCACGAGCCGACATTCTGGTTTTAACTCGGGACCCCTGATGTGAGGGACGATCTCTGGACAGTAGT